ACCTGTGCAGCGACATAATTTTCTTAGTGCTTCCTTTTGTTGCTGTTCTTGCAGAAGGGATCGCTGTGTGTCTCTGGGTCCCGAGACAGAAATGTGATTCTGTGGGACCTGAAACAACTCGGTAAAAAACAAGAAAAAGTAAAGTGCACGGTGCTGGGAGCTGCGAAAACAGGAACACACAAGGTAAAGATGCCTGGTATACCTGTTTTATGGGAGCACCTTAAGTATTCTAGATTCTGTAGTATACACAGGTATTAAACTGTTTGTATCACATTAGTGCAAAATAGTTGGAGCACAGAAAAGTAAACTCTGTGCCCTGATTCTTCAAGGGATGGGCCTGGTCACTTGCTGCCTGTGACACTTGTGTCTGCTCGGGCTCCTGGGATAGCACCATGAAGATATGGGACATGGCGGCAGATGGGCAGCAGGTTGGAGAGATCCGGTACGAAGGCCTTTTTTTTTTAACATATAATGTACGCCTATTATTTTCTAGCAGAAAATATGCTGCAGATGTGTTGGATGTGGTAAGAGGGCACTGGTAGAAGCTCTCCATATGTGTAAAAATATCATGTACATTCTGCTTAGTGAGTAAGTAAAAACTAAACCCCAACTCTAAACTGTCTTGTCACTCCAATGGTCTGAAGTTAAAGATTTTGGCAAATACCAGAATTGCGCAAGCTGGACAGCCATCAAGATTGGGGTGAAACTGACCTGAGCTAAAATGTTCGGGAAATGGCTAAAGTGCAGGTACCATGTGATGCCTCCAAGTACTTGTATTATATATGTAATACATACATACATACATACATACAAGCTACACATGGAACCTTGACTTCTGCCCAAGTAGAGAGTCCGGCCTGCCCCCTCCTGGGACAAAGCCTACCGGTCATTCCATTGTTCTATGCCATAACCTTAGAGGGCACCAGCAGCTCTAACATTTGACAATGCAATGGCAGAGGGTGGGGGCTTATTCTACACTTGGCCAGAAGATGAAGCTCCATGTAAAGCCTTGGATCCAATGGGCTATTTTAAGACTAGGACAGGTATTTGTGGACATCACCATCAGTTACTGCATTTTAGCGCTGGGCCAGGTCTAGGACTCTTTAAGCAAGCGCTAAGAATTTGCGAAATGATATCTGTATTGACTGTGGACCAATAAACAAAAGGATAGTTACAGTAAACTCCCAGTTATCCGCACCCATGGGCTTCAGTTGATGCCGGATAACTGTAGTTTCCGGTTGCTTAAAATTGAAATAGCCAATAGCAGCCTGCCTATTGCTCCCCATTGTTTACATTCTGCTGCTGACAGAGTGATATAGTCGCCGGCCGGCAGCAATATGCAAACACAGAATTTTCTTAGCAATCAAATAAATTTGGTTGCCAATGATTTTTTTCAGTGTGCACCAAGCAACTGGCAATTTTTTTTATTGTGCATCAAGCCACCAGCAAAAAAAAAAAAATATGTACTTTTTTTTTGTGCCGGTTGCTTGAATGCCAGAGAATTGGGAGTTTACTGTAATGATTTTTGAATAAGTGTCATGTAACAACAATAATGGGAAGAATGTATCTTGACCACATTAATGGCTCAGTCTTATATATTTTTATTTTTTTTCAGAGGGCGAGCTGCAATCCTGTGTCTAGGTTATCTACCTGACATCTTGGTTGCAGGATCCTATGACAAGAGGGTAACCATGTATGATCCAAGAGGTGAGCAGCAGCAAATACCAATAGTATTGAACATTCGACTACTATAGGGCAGATGTACTCTGTAGCTGCAGTGGCAGAGGAGGAGAAGACAAGGGAGGGAGAATCAGTTCAGCTGTCTGCCCGTCCAGCTCCTCCGGCCACCTGCAGTTTTCCTCCTCCTCCGCCCACATTAGCTGCCATAAGCTGGGAGGAAAACTGCAGAGGTACAGTTGGCCAGCTGGCAGGACAGCATGCGACCTGAAGGGAGGCTTCACGTCGGACATGGAAGATGCGTCGATGTACCCCCAGCCTCCCCCCCACCACCACCAGGAGAGGAAGAAGGCACCTGAATCACATCAACCATGTGCACTGTAAGTCCCTGTTATTTCTGCCTTACACCACTGATCTCTGCACTGTGCGTTACATTACTGACTTCTGTACTGTTGACCTGTGTACTGTGCGTCATACTGCTGACTTCTGTACTGTGCGTTACATTACTGACTTCTGTACTGCTGACCTCTGCATTGTGCGGTACATTACTGAGCTCTGTATTGTGCATTACATTACTGACCTCTGTACTGTGCGTTACATTACTGACCTCTGTACTGCTGACCTGTGTACTGTGCGTCATACTGCTGACTTCTGTACTGTGCGTTACATTACTGACTTCTGTACTGCTGACCTCTGCATTGTGCGGTACATTACTGAGCTCTGTATTGTGCATTACATTACTGACCTCTGTACTGTGCGTTACATTACTGACCTCGGTACTGCTGACCTGTGTACTGTGCGTTATACTGCTGACTCCTGTACTGTGCGTTACATTGCTGAACTCTGTACTGTCTGTCACACCACTGGCCTCTGTATTTGGCATCACACCACTGACCTCTGCACTGTACTTTGTTACTGATCTCTGTTCTCTGCGTCACACCGCTGACCTGGGGAACTGGTGGCGAGTAACTTTTAAGGCTTGGCTAGTAGCTCAGGACTTGAAATTTTGAGCCCTGTTATAGGTTGTACCAATGCAAATCACAGTATATTGTTAATTCTTCTTACTGATTCTGCAGTCGTGTATTGGGTTCAAATACAAATAAACCCCACGCCAGAAGCGTGATCGCAGCAACACTGAAATAATATAATAATATTATTGAAAATTAGTAAAATAATTGTGTTGCGCTGTGAACCAAAGTGTCACAAAGAAAAAGTATCCAAATCTGTCTCCTTACATCTACCTAAAATTGTGTGAAAAATATAAATCCCAATCTTATTTTATAAACCTCTTATATAATCTAAATAAACGTACATAAACTATGCATGAACAGAGGTGCATATAAATAAATATCTATATAAAATATGACAACAAATACAGTAATGGGACTTTGTGGTCATCTACATTAATATAGTATTAAAGTGCAAAAGTGTTCAGTCCACATAAAGTGCTTCAATCAGTGTAACAATTATCAATCTACATATAGTGCTTCAGTCATGCAAACAAAATTGGTATATTGTTGATGTGTCCACTCGCATTACATCTATCGACCATGTCTTCACCCGTGTGAAAGAACAATATCTGCCTCTCACCTTATGGATAGACCTCTCAGAAAGAAGGTCATCATCGTGTTACCCCGTTTGAAGCCAGGAAGGGGTTCTCCTGCCCTTGTAA